CGCCTCGACTTTAAGGTATCCGTCTTCTTCCTCTTTGGCTCCCCGCTGGGGCTGGTGCTCGCGCTGCGCAAGACCGTCATGCCCGCTCTGGATGGGGAGGCCCCCCGCCAGCCGCGGTGCCAGCCCCCAAATCCCTCCCCGAAGAGCCCTGCTTGGGTTTAAGCCCCTTGCACACCCAGCTCTGTCTGTGCGGGTGTTGGTGTTGGTCTGTCCCCGAGCATCCCCTTCCCCGCTCTGTGCCAGCCCCAGCCTGTGTCCTGGCTGTCACCGGTGTCCTGGGTTTGCCTCGTTAGCCTTTTCTCTCGCTGGGTCCTGCTGTCTTCCTGCTGGGTGCTGAGCTCCTGGCTGTGCTGCCCCGTGCCCGCCAGCCCTCGTGCCCTGTCCCTGTCCCCACTGGGCTTCTCACCATGCAGGCTGGGCAGCCCTGACCGCCCCCTTCTCTGCCCCAGTGGCCCAGCTGCGTCCTGCTTGCGAGCAGATCTATAACCTCTTCCACGCCGCCGACCCCTGCGCCTCTCGCCTGGAGCCCCTCTTGGCCAAGGCCTTCCACGCCGTCCCACCGCTCAGCGTGCCCCGTTACCAGAAGTACCCTCTGGGTGATGGCACCTCCTCCCTGCTGGGTGAGTGGCCCCCATGCCAGGCTGGTCCCGGCCACCCTGGGGTGCACTGGGGGCTCTGGTATCGTGCCGGGGTACCCAGAGCATCCACAGCACTGCAAGAGCCCAGCTTGGGTGGGGGGAAAGTGGTGGGCAAGCCCTGCCCACCCCTTTGGGGCTCTGCTGGCGGGGGGGTTCCCAGGGGTGGTTGGTGTCCCCAGGGGGGGCTGGGTGGCCTCCCTCGCCTCTCTCTGCAGCGGAGGCCCTGCAGATGCACTCTGCCCTGTTCCTACCTGAGGTGGACATGGCCGCCCCCCCTACCCCCACTGGCAGCTTCGGGGGCTTTTGGAAGGGCAGTGAGCTGGGGGAGGCCCCCACTCCCGCCAGCACCAGTGAAGTTGTCAAGAGTAAGTGCCATCCCTGCCCGTGACATCCCTGCCCATCCCATCCCATCCCATGCCGCCACCTCGGGATGAGGTCCAGGGACAGATTCATTCCAGCTCTCCCTGCAGTCCTGGAGCGCTGGTGGGGCCCGAAGCGCATCGACTACTCACTGTACTGTCCCGATGCCCTGACTGCCTTCCCCACCATCACCCTGCCCCATCTCTTCCACGCCAGCTACTGGGAGTCCTCCGATGTGGTGGCCTTCATCCTGCGCCAGGTACGGCGAGCATGGCAGGGCGGGTGGCGTGGCTCACCGGGACTGGCGGAGGCTGAGCCGGGGCTGTGCTGTTTGGTAGGTGATGGAAAAGGAGGGACCGCAGCCGGCGGAGAGTGAGGAGAGCTCTATCTACAGCCCTGCTATCCCCCGGGAGAAGTGGCAGCGCAAGCGCACCCAAGTGAAAATCCGAGTACGTGCCCAGTGGCTATCGGGAGCCCGACCCTTTGCCGGCGCAGCACCAGGCTCCGGCTGTCCCTGGGTTCCCCGGCAGACCCCTGGCTGTGGGGTGATGCAGCTGGGAGGGTTTGTTCCTATCTGCCAGGAGGATGTCGGGATGGTCCCGCAGCCTGGTGGGGTGCATATGCCCCCTTGGGTGCCACCCGCTGCCCTGGCACAGGCTGCTGAGCCCTCTGTGTCCCTGCAGAACGTGACGGCCAACCACCGGGCCTGTGATGTGATCGTGTGCGAGGGTAAAGCGCAGGTCCTCAGCGGGCGCTTCATGTACGGACCCCTGGACGTGGTGACGCTGACTGGGGAGAAGGTACTGCCGGGCTCATGGGTGCCACCAGGACCCCATCAAATGGGGGGGAACGGGGCTGGTGTCACCCATGGCAGGGGAAGGGATGCGGTGAACAGGACCCCGTAGGACCTTGTGGGATGGGAGGAGAGGGTCGCAAGGACTTGTGGGTTGGGAATATGGCAGGATCTGGAGGTTTGGTCCACGCTCAGCTCTTCTCCCTCTCCCAGGTGGACATCTACATCATGACGCAGCCGCTGTCTGGGAAGTGGCTGTACTATGGCACTGAGGTGACAAGCGGCAGCGGGCGCTTGACCTTCACCATCCCTCCGGAGAAGGCTCTGGCCATTGGCATCTACCCTGTGCGCATGGTGGTCAGGTGAGATGTGGGAGTGCGGTGCCATCTCAGTTCCTCCTCCAGCCCTTTTGGCAGAGGTCTACCAGGCCCCTCTGCGGCAGAGACGGTGCTGAGCCTTCCTGCTCTCCTGTCCCAGGGGGGACCACAGCTACGCTGAGGCATACCTGACGGTGGTGGCCCGGGGCACTGAGTCGGTCGTGTTCAGCATCGATGGTTCCTTCACCGCCAGCGTCTCCATCATGGGCAGCGATCCCAAAGTGCGGGCGGGGGCTGTCGATGTCGTACGGTAGGTGCCCTTCTCATGGTAGGGACAACCCGCCCCTCCTTCTGTGGTGCAGTGACAACCTGGTTGGGGTAGTGGACACACCAACGTGTGTCCCCTCCTAGGCACTGGCAGGACTCGGGCTACATGATCATCTACGTGACGGGACGCCCTGACATGCAGAAGCATCGTGTGGTGGCCTGGCTCTCCCAGCACAACTTCCCTCACGGTGCTGTCTCCTTCTGCGACGGGCTCACCCACGACCCCCTGCGCCAGAAAGCTGCCTTCCTCCAGAGCCTACGCACCGAGGTGGGGACGGGGACACCAGCGGGGTGGGGACACGATGCTGCTGGTGGTGGAGGGGTAGCATGGGCTGTGCCGCAGCCTGTGCGTCTCTGGCCTGGGGGGTGATGGAGC